AACTCCCTAAAAAATCTAAGACCTGTCTCAGATTTTCGGGGTTCATACATGTAATGTTGAATGTTAATGTTTGTAAAACACACATTATTCTATCTACTATTCAAACTATACTGCCAATTAACCTTAGACTTTCTCAACAAAATTAAAATGTTGATGAGGTATGAATAATATATTTAAATTTAAATAATGTTGCAAGTTTTAATATGCCTACTTTTCATTTTTTAATATACTTGTTTTGACTACTTTAATGCTGTAAGAAAAATGAGTAATTAAAACATGAATAAAAGTGTTTACGCGGGGTGGACATGTTTCCTCCAGCCTCAGGATTGGGGTGACATGAAAGGCACCTGCCCAACCCCAGCTTTCATCCCAGCTGTCCTGATGGTGGCTCTAAGCATTTCTCCTTTCTCTATATGAAGACCTCACCCCAAAAACAAACCCAAATCTCACAATATGTTAGGGCACACTACGATGATGAGCAGCCAAAGCCTCAAGCAAGGGATGCTTCTGAAAACAAGGCTTGTAGAATATAATGTGTGGAAGTAAAGCCAGTGTCGGAGTTCCTTCCTCTGCACATGGGGAGCAGACAGGAAGCTTTTCCTCACCTTCCTCACGTGGCCTGCAGCCACATCTCCCAGGTCCGACTTGAGAACAAAATGTTAGTCTTCACTGTGGACACGCTGCCAGGTGCTCCAAAGCCATAGCCTCTCCTCAGGTGGGTCCTGAGGAGAACAAAGCTCTGCTTCTAATCCTAACCCCGTCGCTAGACTTTGATCCTGACCCTAAACCCTGATTCACACCCTGGTCTATGATTCTGACCCTGACTTTGACCCTGACTTTTATCTTGACCCTGTCCATGACCCCACCTCTAACCATACTTCCAGCCCTGACCCTGACCCAGACCCCAATTCTAACCCTACTATTATCACTACAATCTATCTCTAATCTTACCCTCTAGTGCTAAACAGCTGTACCCAAAAGCACTTTTCGATTATTTAACTTCTTTTCCTTGAATTTTCTAAGGACATCCGAAAGGAGATGTCATTATGTATTCTGCAGTCGCTCTGAGTGGTATGGCTTCAGATAAGAAGTTCTAATACTTTGCAAGACAGAAGAAGTGTGAAAGGCAGCAGCACTGGGTTGTCAGGAATGCATGCTGGCATTCACAATAGTCATTGGCGTTATTCTCCACGGGTTTTCAGTTCATTTTTTATGAACGCATTCTGACTGTTCCATCCCATCTACTTAAATTTTTGCATGGCCACATGACTTCTTTCTTTTTCTTTTTTTTTCTTTTTCTTTTTTTTTTTGCCATGCAGGTGAGAAGAAATAATATGTGACTTTTTCAGGAGAAATCTCCAAGAAACAGAGTTCTATCCGCATGCTTTTTGTCTTTTCTAGAGCAATGGGGGCCTTATTGATGGTACCTCCTTCCACCTCTATTCCTGTGTTAGGACGACACATCACAGAGCGACCTCTCAACTGACCCATGATGAGATGCAAATAAATGAGGAAGAAGATTTTTGAGCCACTGAAACTTGGAGGCTGTTTGTCACCGTGCTTTAACCTAGCCCCCACTGACTGATGCAGGACTGAAGAATGAGTCAGAACCGGGTCTGGACCTGTGAAGTGCACTCCTCCAGGCTAAGTAAAATTCAAGTCTTGTTGCAAAGGTTAACAGTGAGCACGATGTGTTATTAGGGTGAGTGTGGGATACATAAGGCATGTCAAGTGAGAATAATGAGAAACTCGACTTAAAAGACAGTGCTAATTTGGACTGTGGAGAGATTCCAATGTCCTACTTAGCATTTGAGACTGTGATGGCTGGACAAACTCATTACGAACCCTAAATGAAGGCTTGGGATAAATATCCGAGGGTGTCTAATATACCAATTATTCATCCTAGAATGGGCAGAGTCCTTGACCCCATTCTAGGGAGACTTCCAAAAGAAAAAAGACCTGCATTTCTCCAACAACCCACATCGAGAGACTTTCCTGCACTTCTGAGCTGTGGCTAACACTCCTCACCTTTCATTCCGTCCTCAGCGTTTTGGGGAAACACCTTTACCTCTCTATGACTTACAGGTTAATAAGTGGCCCTTATAATTCCCTCCAGAGATAGAAAAGACTAATGATGAGGGAGTCTGAGCTCACAGCAGCAAGTGGGCATGTGTGCTCTGCAGCCACGTGGCTCATCTGCTAGATTACTACATACGATGTTCTGCAACGTTGCTTAACACAACGGGGCTCTCTCCCAACTCAGAAGGTTTAATTGCTCACCTACTTCTTTTTCTGCCCTCTTGGGCTCCTAAAATGAAAAGAACTCTAGGGTGATACACTGAGTCAAAGGGGTGCCAGCCGTATCACAGCAAAATAAAGATCCCTAAAAAATCCCTGGCCTAAGATGATAGCCTCGGCTGGGTAAGTCTGAATGTGCTGACAGTGGACATGGGAGCATGAGGGTGGTCAAAATGTTCGCATTAAAGAACTTCCACACAGACTACAAGAAAAGAGGGAGGAATGGAGATGGCAGCATGAGTCCCTACAATAAAAGCAGATGTTTTGAGATCAGTTATATTCTTTCCGACAAAAATTCGAGACAGAAACCAAAGTTTAGCCTGAGGCGACAACTAACTGGGCAATAAGCCAGAGGCACATGTGGCGTAGACAGAGTTAAACATTTTCCCTTATATTAATATAGACACTAAATTAATATAAACAGTTGGGCCTACAGTAGTTTTAAAGGAAATCTCACAAATGGGTTTGGCTTTTCAAGGTTAGCACTGATGGTCCAGAGAATTCATTTTGGTCCAGAGAGTGAAAGAGAGGAATTTATTTTGGTCCAGAGAGAGAAAGAGAAGAACTCCTCGGGTCCCTTCAGAAAGGCGTCTGGCTTTGCCTCACCTTGTATGTTTGAACTATGCATACGGCAGAAGAAGACAGGATTTCACAGATTTAAGGTGTGAAAAGTCACTGGGTGCTTTAAGAAGCCTGGGATTCTTCTTGGAAAAATAAGTTTGTGGAGACAAAATGAGTTGGAGAAGGCTGTTATTGAAGTGAAGCAGAATTGCTTTTAGTAATCTACTTATTACCCTCACCCTCAGCCCCTTAACCTCTAACCCTAAACCCTAACCCCTTGACCCTAATCCTACCCCTACCCCAATCCCTCATCCCACTCTTTAGCCCTGACCCTTGACCCCAAACCCCAAACCCCAACACCAACCCTAAACTTAACCCCTAACCCTACCACTAACCTTAACCCTTTACATCTGCCCAGATTCTCCAGCAGCAGCAGGGACCCTTTGCTCCCAGCTGTGCACCCCTGCACCTGGCACAGCACTTCGTAGCAATCCCCAAATAGGCACCTCAATGCCCACTGTGCCAGCCATGCAGTGGAAGCCCAGGCTATATTCTCACCTCCAGAACCAGGGCCCAGCGCCTGCATCAGGCTGCTCAGGGTTGAAGTGAGCTGGGACACCCAAGGTCTTCATAAGACCAAGGCTATCTCGTGCCTCCTGTCACAGAGTGAGACGCAGACCCGGCAGCACCGCACTCCCCCTCCTTCCCTCTGTGGCAGCTCGGCAACCTTCCAAGTCAGGGGCCCTTCCCTGATGACACTCCAAGCACAAAGCACTGGACTTTCACACAGTGAGGCTGCACACATTATTTTGTGTAGATGCCCACCTAGACCACTGGGAGAAAGGGTGGTAGAGGGACCCTCATGTTGCCCTGTGGTATGCATGCTCTGGTTTAAACGACTACAAGCCATTTACGAGAAACTAAAGCTGAAACACTACTTGTTTCCAAGCTTTTGTCGGCAGAAGATTTACAATGTACACTCCCAAACAAGCTAGCCACAGGGCACACTAGCTACTTCCCTTCTTAAGTTGCTCTGAGGGCCTCTGCATCAGACCTAGAATTGGAAGATTGCTGGAGAAGAACTGGGATGTTGAGGGGATACTGGATGCTTGCTGGACACCAGCCTCCCCTCACCTAAGCTTACAGACAGCCCCAATCCCGCCTGACCAAATCAGACATTGTAACACACACAGCTCTGGATAGCAGGATTTACAGATGCAAAACTCTAAGGCAAAGGATTGTCTATACTCCGTGAAAATGGCCATACTGCCCAAAGTAATTTACAGATTCAATGCTATCCCCATCAAGCTACCAACGACCTTCTTCACAGAACTGGAAAAAACCACCTTAAACTTCATATGGAACCAAAAGAGAGCCCTCATAGCCAAGTCAATTCTAAGCAAAAGGAACAAAGCGGGAGGCATCACACTACCGGACTTCATTGAGAGGAAGAGTGCCTGTGGGGGGAAGAGAGCCCTCTTGGTGGAAGACCAGTGGAGAGCACTGGGGCGCTGACAGGCCCAGGGAAGGACTGCGGTGTGCAGGCAGGAGACCCAGGGAAGGAACTGGGGGATGAAGGTGTCCAGGGAAGGACTGGGTTTGGGGAGAGGGGTCCCAGGGGAGAAATGGGGGGAAGGGAGGGGCCCCCAGAAAAAATTGGGGTTGAGGGAAGGGGTCCCGGGGAGGAATGGGGGAAATGAGGGGTTCCATGAATGGACTGGGGTTGGGACAAGGGGTCCCAGGGTAGGATGTTGGGGGTAAGGGAGGGGTCCAGAGAAGGACTGGGGTTGGGAGAAGTAGTCTCAGCAGAGGAATGGGGGAAGGAGGGGTCCCAGGGATGGACTGGGGTTGGGGAAAAGGGTCCCAGGGGAGAAATGTGGGGAAGGGAAGGGACCTCAGAAAGGACTGGGGTTGGGGGAAGAGGTCCCAGGGGGCATATGGGGAGAAGGGAGGGGTCCAGGGAAGAACTGGTGTTGGGGGGTAGGAGTCCGGGGATAAATAGGGGGAAGGAGGGGTCCCAGGGAAGGACCACGGTTAGAGGAAGGGGTCCCAGGGGAGGACTCCGTGGGGCAAGAGTGTGCAGGGAAGGACCAGGGTTGTGCAGGGAGTGGTCTCTGGACAGCACAGGGGATGAGTCAGGGTCAGAAGCTCACAGTGAGGCCAGCCACCAGCGCCCCCTGCAGGAGGCCAGCAAGGACGTCGCTCCAGTGGTGTTTGTGATCAGACACGTGGGTGTAGCCCACATAGAGGGCAAAGGCCACCAGGAAGAACTGGACCGTGGGCCGCAGCAGCCGCGCCAACTTCCAGCAGAGCCAAGCCTGCGCGTAGAGCTGGGACGGGTGAGGACGCCTCCGCCTGTGCCCTGCCAGGCACTCCCATGCCCACTGCACAGATGGCAGCTCCGAGACGAGGCCGGGGGCACGGAACCGGCCAGCCCAGGGCCTCCTGTTTTCACAAACAAGTCAGTGAGCGCCCCCATCGCCACCACAACTCACCCATTTTACAGCTGGAAAAAATGAAGTCCAGGGAAGGGAGTGAAGGTTGGAGGGTGGGTGGCTCACTCGGCATCTTCCAACGTCCCCTCGCCCCTGAGGGTTCAACACGGGAGCTGCCGACGTTACAGACCACCAAATCCCAGGGGCGGACTGCTCCCTCTGTCCTTTCCAGTTATCTGATGATGGAATCAGAGTCTCCAATTGGGGCTGTGGCATGAGACGCCTTACCCGTGAAGACTCTGAGGCCTGAACCCGACACCCAGGGCAGGCGGTAGCGTCCAGCAAGCAGGCAACACCGGTTTCGTTTTCACTGCGTTTCTTTTCAGCATTTTCTCCCATCTGTGGAACTGAGGGAAGATTTCTTTTTATATAAATTTGAGATCCCGTGAAGGACATGAATGAAACACAGAAAATAGGGAGCAACAAAAAACTGGCAAAAAAGTCACAATCAACTTTTTTGGAACTAATCAAAAGCTTGCAGGAACCAGAGGAACACTTGATTAATGTAATCCAGTTGAGGCCGGGCACGGTGGCTCACACCTGTAATCCCTGCACTTTGAGGGGCCGACGCAGGCGGATCACGAGGTCAGGAGATTGAGACCAGCCTGACCAACATGGTGAAACCCCGTCTCTACTAAAAATATAAAAATTGGCCAGGAGTGGTGCCACATGCCTATAATCCCAGCTGCTCGGGAGGCTGAGGCAGGAGAATCGCTTGAAAATCTGGGAGGTGGAGGTTGCGGTGAGCCAAGATCACACCGCTGCCTGGGCGACAGAGCGAGACTCCATCTCAAAAAAAAAAAAAAAAACAAAAAAACAAAGAGAATCCAGTTGGATCTCAGAACAAACAGCTTTGTGGCTTTTTAACTCATCCTGGTCCCTCTCCCACTGCCTAGACTGTGGTGGCGTGAGGGTAACAGACCACACGCCCAGCACAGGTTCCAAGAAGGGGCCTTATTTGCAACTGCGAACTGGGGTATGGCTCGAGGGCTGGCCTTGATCTCACCCAACTGGACATTCTCCCAGTGCTGAGGTGCTACCTGGAGGACATATGTAGGAAACGTTTACAACAAATTTGTTAGTCTCTGCTGCCTGGGGCCACGAGAGCAGATGAGGCAAAAACCAGATGAGCCAAACAGCGTAGGAGGAAAGGCCAGGGAATAAAATGCTCTGGGGAATGAAGGCTTGGAACCTACAAGACTAGAGCAGTGCAGGAGCTTGGAAGACGCCTGCGAGGGCCCTGCGCTTTCACATCGGGCCGGCCTTCCAGCTCTGCACAAGCAGGAAGTGAGAGTAAAGGCAGAGAAAACCTGTTTCACCGTGGAAGGGCCGACCCCACAGCCACGCAGACCCCATCTACAAACTTGGGAGTGTGTTGTGGTTTTTTTTTTGTTGTTGTTGTTTTGTTTTTTTTTTACTTCCAGATGTTCAAAGAAATCTCTGTCCTATCACTAGCTGACCACCAGGCTAAAAGAACAGGAGGAAATGACCACTCATGACAAAAGATAGAGACTTCACAATCAGAAAAGTCATTTAATAACCACTGCAGCAAACAGCAAGAACACGCCCCGGGGAGGAGGGATACTCCTATTTCCAGAGTGGCTACATTATAATATTCTAAACACACAGTTTAAAACAAAACAAAACAGGTCGGGCACGGTGGCTCACGCCTGTGATCCCAGCACTTTGGGAGGCTGAGGCAGGCGGCTCGCCTGAGGTCAGGAGTTCGAGACCAGCCTGGCCAACGTGGTGAAACCCTGTCTCTACTAAAAGTACAGAACTTGTCCAGGTGTGGTGGTGCATGCCTGTGATCCCAGCACTCAGAAGACTAAAGCAGGAGCAGTGTTTAAACCCAGGTGGCGGAGGTCGCAGACAGCAAAGATCACACCACTGCACTCCAGCCTGGGTGACAGAGTGAGACTCCGTCTCAAAAAAAACAAACAAACAAAGAAAATAGGTCAGTTAAGATTATTCAGCCGGGCCAGGCACAGTGGCTTACATCTGTAATCCCAGCACTTTGGGAGGCTAAGGTGGGTGGGTCATCTGAGATCAGGAGTTCGAGACCAGCCTGGCCAACATGATGAAACCCCATCTCTACTAAAAATACAAAAAATTAGCAGGATGTGGTGGTACATGCCCATAGTCCCAACTCCTCGGGAGGCTGAGGCAGGAAAATCACTTGAACCCAGGAGGCAGAGGTTGCACTGAGCCAAGATCATGCCACTGTACACTGCACTCCAGCCTGAGTGACAGAGTGAGATTCTGTCTCAAAAAATAAAAAATAATAAAAATGAAAATACAAAAATTAGCCAGGTGTGGTGGTACACACCCATAATTCCAGCTGCTGGGGAGGCTGAGACAGGAGAATTGCTTGAACTCAGGAAGTGGAGGTTGCAGTGAGCTGAGATCGAACCACTGCACTCCAGCCTGGGCAACAGAGCCAGACTCTGTCTCAAAAAAAAAAAGAGAGAAAAAGATTATTTAGGCTGAAAGGGCTCGGGGGCTCACGCCTGTAATCCCAGCCCTTTGGGAGCCCAAGGCGGAAGGACTGCTTGCACCCAGGCATTCCAGACCAGCCTAGGCAACATGGTGAGACCCTATTTCTAAAAAAAAAAAAATGTAAAAACCAGTCAGATGTGGTGATGTATGCCTGTAGTCCCAGCTACTTGGAAGGCAGAGATGGTTTGAGCCCAGGAGTTCAAGTCCTGGGCAAAATTGCAAGACCCTCATCACTAAAAGAAAAATTAAAGGCAAAAAAAAAAAAAAAAAAAAAAAAGACAGTAACAAGGAACTGAAAAAGGAAGACATAACCTGGGCAACCCTAAACAAAATGACAGAGTTCCTTCCTTATCAGTAATTACACTGACTATAAAGAGATTAAACAATCCAACTGAAAGTCAGAGATTCGTTAAATGCCTTAATTCAATAAAAAGATTAACATAGGCTGGAAAAAAAAAAAAGCACAAAAAATAAAAAGTCAGAGATCTGGCTGGGTGTGGTGGCATACACCTGTAATCCCAGTAGTTTGGGAGATCACAGAGGGTGGATCGCCTGAGCTGAGGAGTTCAAGACCAGCCTGGGCAACATGGCAAAACCCTGTTTCTACAAAAAACATAAATAAACGGTAGCTGAATGTGGCGGCCAGTCCTAGCCACTCGGGAGGCTGAGGCTGGACGATGGCTTGGCCTGGGAGTCCAAGGCTGCAGTGAGCTGAGATCACCGTCCTCCAGCCTGGGTAACAAAGTGAGCCTCTCTTGAAAAAAAATCAGAGACTGGACAATACATAAAAAACATGGCCCAATTTTATTCAATGTATAAGAGACTTACTTTAGAGTCAGAGACATAAATAAAAGTACAAGATTGGGAAAAAAAAATATTCCATGCAAACAGTAACGAAAAGAGAGCCAAAATAACTATATTAATATCAGACAAAATGGACATCAAGGCAAAAATTGAGACAAAACTCCTATGTATCATTCTATGATGATGAAAGGGTCAATCTATCAAAAAGATATAGCAATTATACGGGTAAATGTAGTAAACCACAGAACTCCAAAATGCATAAAGCAAAAATACACAGAACGTTACAACATGAACTTCCAAAACTTAAGATTGCACTAACTGTTCAATCAGTAAAAACATACAAAAACAATTTTGTTTTTATTCTATTTACTTACCCTCTTTTTTCTTTTTTTCTTTTTCTTTTTTTTTTCCTATGGTTTTTTTTTTTTTTTTTTTTGAGACGGAGTTTCGCTGTTGTTGCCCAGGCTGGAGTGCAATGGCACACTCTCGGCTCACCGCAGCCTCCGCCTCCTGGGTTCAAGCAATTCTCCTGCCTCAGCCTCCCGAGTAGCTGGGACTACAGGCACACACCATCATGCCCAACTAATTTTTGTATTTTTAGTAGAGACGAGGTTTCACCTTGTTGACCAGGATGGTCTCGATCTCTTGACCTTGTGGTCCACCCGCCTCGGCCTCCCAAAGTGCTAGGATTATAGGCGTGAGCCACCGCACCCGGCCTTTCCTATAGTTTTGAGAAAAACAAAAACAATTTTTTTTTTTTTTTGAGACAGTCTCGTGTCTCCCAGGCTGGAGCACAGTCAGCTTACTGCAACCTCCGCCTCCCAGGTTCAAACGATTCTCCCGCCTCAGCCTCCTGAGTAGCTGGGATTGCAGGCACCCATCACCAGGCAAGGCTAATTTTTTATTTTTAGTAGAGATGGGATTTCTCCATGTTGATCAGGATGGCCTCAAATTCCTGGCCTGAAGTGACCTGCCCACCTCGGCCTCCCAAAATGCTGGGATTACAAGTGTCAACCACCACGTCTGGCCAATTTTTTTTTTTTCTTTTTTTTGAGGCGGAGTTTCACTCATGTTACCCAGGCTGGAGCGCAATGGTGTGATCTCAGCTCACCGCAACCTCTGCCTCCTGGGTTCAGGCAATTCTCCTGCCTCAACCTCCTGAGTGGCTGGGATTACAGGCACGCGCCACCATGCCCAGCTAATGTTTTGCATTTTTGGTAGAGACGGGGTTTTACCATGTTGACCAGGATGGTCTCGATCTCTGGACCTCGTGATCCACCTGCCTTGGCCTCCCAAAGTGCTGGGATTACAGGCTTGAGCCACCGTGCCAGGCCCCAGTTTGTTTTTTTTTTTTTTTTAAGTCAGAGTCTCACTCTCTCACTCAGACTGGAGTGCAACGGCACCATCTTGGCTCACTGCAGTCTCTGCCTCCCAGGTTCAACTGATTCTCTGTCTCGGCCTCCTGAGCATCTGGAATTATAGGCATGCACCACTACACCCAGCTAATTTTTGTATTTTTAGTAGAGATGGGTTTTTACCATGTTGGCTGGGCTAGTCTCCAACTCCTGACCTCAGGTGATCTGCCCACCTCAGCCTCCCAAAGTGCTGGGATTACAGGTGTGAGCCATCTTGCAGAGCCCTCCCAAATTTTTTTAATTAGGAAAAGAATCTGGGCACAGTGGCTCATGACTATAATCCCAGCACTTTGGGGGGGCCAAGGTGGGCAGATCACCTGAGGTTAGTAGTTCGAGACCAGCCTGGCCAACCTGGAGAAACCCCATCTCTAGTAAAAAATACAAAATCCACCAGGCGTGTTGGTGGGTGTCTGTAGTCCCAGCTACGCAGGAGGCAGAGGCAGGAGAATCGCTTGGACCCAGGAGGTGGAGGTTGAGGTAAGCAAAGATCACACCATTGCACTCCAGTCTGGGCAACAAGAGCAAAACTCCACCTCAAAAAAAAAAAAAATTAGAAAAAGAGAAGGCAGACACCAAAGACCACATAGTCTATGATTCTATTTATATGAAACATTGAGAACAGGCAAATCTACAGACAGAAAATAGGATAGTGGTGGTTGCCAGGGGCTGGGGGAGGAGTGACAGCTAATGGGTACAGGGGTTCTTTGTTTCCTTTCCTTTCATTTTTTTGAGACAGGGTCTGACTCTGTCACCCAGCCTGGGGTAGGCACAATCTTGGCTCACTGAAACCTCTACCTCCCGAGTTCAAGTGATCCTCCCATCCCAGCCTCTCCAGTAGCTGGGACTGCAGGTGTCCACCACCAGGCCTGGCTAATTATTTTTTTCTTTGAGATGGAGTTTCACTCTTGCTGCCCAGGCTGGACTGCAATGACACAATCTCAGCTCACCACAACCTCCACCTCCCGGGTTCAAGCGATTCTCCTGCCTCAGCCACCCCAGTGGCTGGGATTACAAGCGTGTGCCACCATGCCTGGATAATTTTGTATTTTTAGTAGAGATAGGATTTCTTCATGTTGGCCAGGCTGGTCTCAAACTCCCAACCTCAGGTGATCCGCCCGCCTCAGCCTCCCAAAGTGCGGGGATATAGGCGTGAGCCACCTAGCTCAGCCTAATTTTTTGATTTGTCATAGAGACGGGGTTTTGCTATGTTACCCATGCTGAGGGGTTTCCTTCTGATGAGATGAAAATATTCTGGAATTAGGTAGAGGAGATGGCTGTACAGCACTATGAATGTACTAAAAATGAACTGTACACATTAAAATGGAAGAAATGGTGACTTTTATCTTATACAAATTTTATTTTGATTTTTTTTGTTGTTTGGTCTGACATTACCCTAGGCTTGCCAGTCAATATTTTGATTTTTTAAAAAGGAAAATGATGAGTTGAAACGTTTAAGGACCTATCAGTAGAGATGGTAAGAAGATAGCACATGGCCGGGCGCGGTGGCTCACGCCTGTAATCCTAGCACTTTGGGAGGCCGAGGTGGGTGGATCACCTGCGGTCAGGAGTTCAAGACCAACCTGGCCATCATGGTGAAACCCCATCTTTAAAAAAAAAAAAAAAAAAAAAAAAAAAGAAGAAGACAGCACAGAAGAGGGCAGGGCTAAGACTCGGGGCAGACAGAGCATGCTCCCCCCAGCCTCCTGCTATCTGCGGGGCACCTGGAGCCCTGAGGCCTCGCTCCTGCCTGACCACCTGCCTGCTGGCTCCTCACCATCTGGCTTCTGGGGCTTCTTCAGCTCCCACTGCCCCCCAGAGTGAAGGCTGCTCGTCGACACCCACCTGACCTCGGTGAGGTCAGCAGCGTTTCCCCTGGACACCCTCTCCAGCTGCGCGTAGACCAAGCGGTTGACCCGGCTCCACTCAGGGTCAAAGACGGCCAGGAAGTTGGGGCACAGGCGGCCGATCACGTACTTGGCCTGGTCCATCAGAGACCGGCTCACGGCCGCCCCAAACAGGAAGGTCCCCAGCACCTTGTACACGGCAGCCACGTAGTTGTTGAAGCCGGAGCGGGAATAGAGCCGGTCTGTGTGCGCCAGGTAGGCTTCTCCCACCGAGACCTGCGCGTGGGGCAGCCGCAGCGACCAGCGGGGGTCCCAGTCAGCCCGTGGGCCCTCACTGGGCCTCAGTCCTCCCCACAGGCCTCCCCAAGGCTGCCGCAGAGCTGGGGACTCTAAAAGGGCCCTAGCCGGCCTCCGTGGCTCACGCCTGCCATCCCAGCACTGTGGGAGGCTGAGGCGGGCAGATCACCTGAGGTCGAGCGTTCAAGACCAGCAGGACCAACATGGTGAAACCCGTCTCTACTAAAAATACAAAACTAGCCAGGTGTGATGGCGCACACCTGGAGTCCCAGCTACGGGGGAGACTGAGGCAAGAGAATCACTTGAACCCAGGAGGGGGAGGTTACAGTGAGCGGAGACCTTGCCATTGCACTCCAGCCTAGGCAACAAGAGCGAAACTCCATCTCAAAAGACAAAAGGGGGTTCCTATTACCCACAAGTACCACTCGGGGCAAGGCTGTGTCCCCCAGCACCCCACAGACCTCCAGGCCAACCCCCATCAGGAACCCAGGGTAAGGCTGTACCCCATCCCGTCCCTCTCCCTGTCCCTCTGAACCCTTCCTGCCTTACAAGGATGACGGTGGCTGTGTTGGTGGCCCCGGCCATGAGCCCATGGGTGATGGTGTCTGGACGGTAGGGGTACCGGATGGAGTCATCCCAGCAGTAAAATCCTCGCTTATACGGGGTGTTCACCAGCGACAGGACAGCGAAGGGCAGGGAGGCTGGAGAGGGGGAAGGGGCTTGGAGCTGCGACGTTCTCCAACCAGCTGGGCCGTGAGGCCCCCACACCTTCCTTGCCTCCAGGCCTCTCACCGACAGTAAGGAAGAGCTTTCCTCACAGCACGTGGGAGGCCCAAGCGACACCCCTTTCCCATCGCCCTCAGATGAGCACGAACTCCCCAGGCCCTCTCCCCCTCACACTCTCCCCTCTGCTCCTTGAACAAACCTGGCAAACACTCACCTCAGGGCCTTTGCACAGGCACTTCTCCCTGCCCAAAATATCTTATTTTTATTTTTAAAAGTAGAGACAGGGGTCTCATGCTGACCAGGCCGGTCATAAACTCCCGGGCTGGAGCGACGACCCAGCCTCAGTCTCCCAAAGTGCTGAGATTACAGGTGTGAGACAACGTACCGGGCAGCAAAGTGACTCTCACTTCCGCTCAGTTTCATCTCCCCTCCCGGCTGTCCACACTGGCGTCCCTCTCACAAAAGGAAAGGTCTATTTAGCCGGGCATGGGGGCCCGTGCCTGTAATCCAGCTACTCGGGAGCCTGAGGCAGGAGAGTTGCTTGATACCGGAAAATGGAAGCTGCAATGAGCCGGGATCGCGCCACTGTACTCCAGCCTGGCGACAGAGCGAGACTCTGTTTCAATTTATAAAAAGAAAATAAATAAATAAATAAAAAGAAAAGGGAAGGTCTGCTCTTTTTCCCTCTTGTCCCATGTGGAATTAGGCAGTCACCTGTGGGACACTGGACTTAATCTCCCTGCCTCCACCCGCCAACACCAGGAGGGGCCTATCGTGCTCAGGACAGAGACCCTGGAGGCTGCTCAGAGCCTGGCCAGGGCAGATGTTTAATAAACATCTGTTAAAACAGGCAGGGCTTATTTCAACCTTAGAGCTGGCCAGAGAAGTCAGGAAAGGACGAAAGCAGGAGCACAGCAGAAGTGCCTTCATGCTCGCCCCTGCCTGTCACTGACTCTCATGCCAGGGCACATGCCAGCCACATGGTGACTCAGGGATCAAAGGCACATTCTCCTGAATTCCACACTTATGGAAGGTGTCACATGGCACTGGGGCTCCTGGGGCCCCGCTGAGCTGAGGGTGGCCAGGGAAGCCGGAGTCAGCTGTGGAGGGCAGGGGCGGGGGCAGCTCCCTGTTCCGCGCAGCAGGTGCACAGCAAAAGCTCAGGGCGTCTACCCCAGAGAGAAAAGAATGCAGGGCGTCCTTTGGCCCAGCAGGGCAAGGACAGAAAAGCATGGCTTTTTTGAATTCTGAGAGTCTGAGGAGGGACAGGGAGCCTCACACTCCTCCCTGCATGCCAGCTGCAAGGATCCTAGGACACGGCACACTTTTGATGCTGGCCGAGTCTGGGGAAATAATGCAGTGAAGACAGCAGAGGTCTGCCTCACAGGGCAGAGGGAATGCAGAACAGAACGGGCAGCACTGGGGCCCAGAGCCTGGACGGTGCCTGTAGAGGGAAGCCCTGAGTTGGGGGGGTGGGGTAGAGGGGCAGGGAAGGTGCGGGGTGGGGTGGGCTGCGCTGTAAGAGCCCGGCTTCTGCTGGGGCGCAGGGGCGGCTGGCGCCGCTGTAAATGAGGGCAGAGACCAGGGAGGAGGCTCCTGCAATTGCCGGCGGTGGAAGGTCGGGGGTCGCAGGCCGCTGACAGCGGACTCCAGCCCCTCCCCGCGGCTCTCAGCAGGCGGTGGCTCACACCGGTTGGCCTCCGTTTCCGACCTCCCTGCCCCAGTAACTCCAGCTAGAGACTCTGACACCCCCATGACAACCGGCCCCGGGCTTCCCTCTGCCTGGAAAGCTCGCCCTGGGGTCCCCGGAACAGGCACCTTCTCTTAATTTGACCCCCGGGAGCCTTCCCGCCCTCGCTCTGCCCCCACAGCCCCATCTGGAACCTGTGGACTGCACTGCGACTGGCCGGAGCTTCCAGATGGAGGTGCCCTCGGCGGGGCCGCCACTCCTGGCACGCAGCAGCCACACCCAACCCCACCCCAGCAGCACCTCCCTCCAGCAGGCGACTCCGTGAGGCTGACCCTCCCTCACAGGCTGTTGTAAGGAACCGTTTGGGTTATCTGCATGCTGCTGAGCGCCTGGCAGCCAGAAAGTGCCGCACACATGTTTAAGTAACTGACAGCAGAGCTGCTCAGGGCATGGCGCCCAGGGCTGGCAGGCACCCCACGGGGACCTCGTGCTGTCCCCTGGCTCCCCCCTAACGAGGGTCTACTTCAGAGGTCAGAGGGCTTAGCCAGAGAACCAGGAAACTGCGCTGGGGAGGAGCCCACCTCCGCACCCCGCGGCGACACGACTGCGGGGGCCATTTTCCCTTCAGCCACAGAGCAAACACTCAGCCTTTGTTCCCGGGACCTGGGGGGGCCTCGGGACGCCTCTTCCCCCATCCGGCCCGAAAACCCACAGGACAGGTTTGGGTCTCCCGAGGCCTCGAAACCTGGGACCCAGCTTTTCTCTCCAAGTGTCTCCCCCGCCCGAGCCGCAGGGGCTCGAATCCCACCGATGCGATGGGCCTATGCCTATCTGATTATTATTATTATTTTTGAGATGGAATTTCCTTCTCATTGTCCATGCTGGAGTGCAATCTCGGCTCACTGCAACCTCTGCTTCCCAGGCTGAAGCAATTCTCCTGCCTCAGCCTCCCAAGAAGCTGGGATTACAGGCACATGCCACCATGCTTGGCTAAGTTTTAGTAGAGGTGGGGTTTCTGCATGTTGGTCAGGCTGGTCTTGAACTCCTGACCTCAGGTGATCCATTCAACTCGGCCTCCCAAAGTACTGAGATTACAGGGATGAGCCACCACACAGGGTTTTGTGTTTTTGTTTTTTCGTTTGTTTGTTTTTGAGATGGAGTCTTTCTCTGTCTCCCAGTCTGGAGTGCAGTGGGATGATCTCGGCTCACTACAACCTCCACCTCCCGGGTTCAAGCAACTCTCCTGCCTCAGCTTCCCGAGTAGATGAGATTGTAGGCATGTGCCACCACGCCGGGCTAATTTTTTGTAGTTTTAGTGGAGTCAGGGTTTCACCATGTTGCCCAGGCTGGTCTTGAACTCCTGACGTCAGGTGATCCACCCGTCTCGGCCTCCCAAAGTGCTGGGATTACAGGCATGAACCACCTCACCTGGCCACTATGCCTAACTCATTGTATTTCTAAAAGGAGAGGGAAAAGAAATAATTGTATTTCCATCCTCACAGTAACTCCATGAAGGAGATAATATCATTTACCTTTTACAAACGTGAAACAAAAGCTCCAGCTTTTTTTTCTGAGACAGTGTCTCACTTTGAAGCCCAAGCTTGAGTGCAGTCTTGACCTCTGGGACTCAAGCGATCCTCCCACTTTAGCCTCCCGAGTAGCTGGGACTACAGGGGGACACTGCCACACCTGGAAAATTTTTTGAAATTTTTTGTAGAGATGGGCTCTTGCTATGTTGCCCAGGCTGCTCTCAAGCTCCTGGGGGTCAAGCAATCCTCCCACATCGACCTCCCAAAGTGCTGGGATTACAGGCATGGTCCCTCCAGCTTTTTTTTTTCCCCCCCCCAAGGCCACATTAAGTTGTTAGTGGCTGAGTCAAAAGAGTCCCAGGGTCTGCTGACTCCTACTTCAGCGTTTTTCCAGCTAGACTACAGCCACTGTCATTCCTGGAAGTTGTCTGACAGTGGACTGAGATGGACTATTTGGGTGTGTAGCACAAACAGAGGAACATCTCTTAGTAGACTGAACCCTGATGTTCTGATGGGGCCAGCATGTATTCTGGGGAAAGGTTCCATAGCTCCCATTCATGACCAGTGAATAGGAATCAGGTACCAGATGTGGTGGCTCACGCCTGGAATCCCAGCACTTTGGGAGGCTGAGGTGGGTGGATCACCAGGTCAGTTCCAGACCAGCCTGGCCAATATGGAGAAACCCTGTCTCTACCAAAAATACAAAAATTAGCTGGGCATGGTAGCGGGTACCTGCAATTCCAGCTACTCAGGAGGCTGGGCAGCAGAATCGCTTGAACCCAGGAGGCAGAGATTGCAGTGAGCTGAGATTGCGCCACTGCACTCCAACCTGGGTGGCAAAACAACACTCAGTCTAAAAAAAAAATGCTGGACATTGGCCAGGTGCGGTGCGATGGCACACATCTGTAATCCCAGCACTTGGGGAGGCTGTGGCAGGCAGATCACTTGAGGTCAGGAGTTCCAGACCAGCCTGACCGACATGATAAAAGCCCATCTCTACTAAAAATATGAAAATTAGCTGGGTGTGGTGGCGGGTGCCTATAATTGCACCTACGCAGAGTGCTGAGGCAGGAGAATTGCATTAACCTGGGAGGTGGAGTTTGCAATGAGCTGAGATCACGCCACTGTACTCCAGCCTGGGACACAGAGCGAGACTTCATCTCAAAAAAGAAAACAGGTTGGATGTGGTGGTGTGTGGTCTCAGCTACTCAGGAGGCTGAGGGGTGCAGATCACTTGAGCCCAGGAATTTGAGGCTTCAGGGAGCTATGGTGGAGTCACTGCACTCCAGGCTGGGTGACAAAATGAGACCCTTATTTCTAAAAAACTAATTTAAAAAATTAACAAAATAAGAGAGACAATAGGATAGTATTCATCACCAATAAGGGATCAATCACATCACCCACTGAATCTTGCCAACATGATCAAACTCTAATCTAATGGGGTTAGCATGAATCCGGCTGCAAATATGCCACAAATACAAAAGACCGAGAATGGGTTCACCTGCACCAGGGAAATCCAGACTTTGAGAAATGCTACAGGCCCAACAGTGTGGACTCTTCCAAAATCCATAGAAAGGAAAAGCGACAGGCCAGGCAAGGTGGTTCACACCTGTAATCCCAGCACATTGGGAGGTCAAGGTGGGCAGATCACAAGGTCAGGAGTTTGAGACCAGCCTGACCAACATGGAGAAACCCCATCACTCCCAAAAATACAAAAATTAGCCAGGTGTGGTAGCACATGCCTGTAATTCCAGCTATTCAGGAGGCTGAAGGAAGAGAATCACTCGAACCTGGAAGTTGGAGGTTGCAGTGGACTGACATTGTGCCGTTGCACTCTGGCCTGGGTGACAGAACAAGTTTCTGTCTCCAAAAAAAAAAAAAAAAAAAAGGAAAAGGGATAGAGGAGAAACTTGTAGATTGTATCTTTTTTTAAATTTTTGTTTTTGGCTGGGCATGGTTGTTCACACCTGTGATCCCAATCTTTGCACTTTGAGAGACTGAGGTGGGCAGATCACCTAAGGTCAGGAGTTTGTGGACAGACAGGCCAACATGGTGAAACCCCGGCTCTATTAAAAGTACAAAAATTAGCTGGGCATGGTCCCATGTGCCTGTAATCTCGGCTACTTGGGGGGATGAGACAGAAGAGTGGCTTGAGCCCAGGAGGCAAAGGTTGCAGTGAGCTGAGATCACACCACTGCACTGCAGCCTGAGTGGAGTTTAAAAAGAAAGAAAATTAGGTTTTGTAGAGACAGGAGTCTCCCTGTGTTGTCCATGTTGGTCTCAAACCTCTGAACTTAAATGATCCTATCACATCAGGATTACAGGTGTGAGTACTCACCCAGCCAACAAACTTGGAGATTGAAAGAGGCTTAAAAGACATAACAATGCTGGGGAACAGTTATGGGCTAGAGATGCATACTAGGGTGGCTCTACTCTAAAGAAACAGAAAGAGGCCAGGTGTGGTGGCTCACACCTGTAATACCAAACACTTTGGGAGGCCGAGAAGGGAGGATCGCTTGTGCCCAGGAGTTTGGGACCAGCCTGGCAACATAGTAAGGCCCTGTCTCTACAGAAAAAAAAAAAAAAAAAAAAAAGTTTTTTTTAATTAGCTGAGAATAGTGGTGAATGCCTATAGTCCCAGCTATTCAGGAGGCTGAGGGGAGACGATCACTTGAGCCCAAGAGGTCAAAGCTGCAGTGAGCCATGATGACACCACTGCACTCCAGCCTGGGTGACTGAGAAAGAACGTGCCTCAAAAAAAAAAGAGGAACAGAAAGAAGCAATTACTGTGAATGTCAGGGTTGGGGAATACTTCTGGAGAGAAGGGAAGGGCTGGTATTGTGCCCATCTCCAGCCCCTTCTGAAAGTACAGAGTCTAGTGGGGAAGACAGCAGCACAAGTGGAGATTCAGGCCACAGCACCAGGAAGTTCCCTTCCACCTTTCCGCCTCCTTGCCCTTTCCTTTGGGGAACGGGAACATGATTTTCTTTCTTCTTTGCCTTTCTAACTAGATAGAGTTCCTGATGGGAGAATTCATATACAGGATGTATAGCATCAACATCAACAGCCAGCTGGAATTGACGGTTTTGTTGATACCCCAGCCAGGCACATCCCTTATTCCTCTGCTAAGTACACCTGGATGTTGCTGCTGTCCAGAATTCTCAGCCACATGCTTGGTGCCAACTCCCAGAATCTGGAAATCTCCTGACATTGCCCCCCAAAGGAGAGACACTCACTTACAATTCTGCATAGAAATTGTCTCTATGTGTCTTTTTTTTTCTTTTTTTTGAGACAGAGTCACTCTGTTGATCAGACTGTAGTCCAATGGTGTGATCTCAGCTCACTGCAACCTCCACCTCCCAGGCCCAAGCAGTTCTCCTGCCTCAGCCTCCCAAGTAGCTGGAGTTACAGACACCTGCAACCATGCCTGGCTAATTTTGTATTTTTAGTGGAGATGGGGTTTCACCATATTGGTCAGGCTGGTCTTGAACTCCTGGTCTCAAGTGATCCACCCACTTAGGCCTCCTAAAATCCTGGAATTACAGGCATGAGCCACCATGCCCAGCCACTTCTGTGTCACCCCCCCCAGGCCAGCCTCTGCATGTTTGGGCTTGATGTGGCTGTGGCTGTCCAGCTGGCTACCTGTCATTTTTAGTCTCTGTGTCTCCTCGATCCCTCTCAGCTGCCCATAAATTCATTTTCTTTTCTTTCTTTTTTTTTTTTTTTTTTTTTCTTGAGATGAAACTTTGCTCTGTCACCCAGGCTGGAGTGCAATGGCATGATCTCGGCTCATTGCAGCCTCTACCTCCCATGTTCGAGCAATTTTCCTGCCTCAGCGTTCCAAGTAGCTGGGACTACAGACACGTGCCGTCATGCCGGGCTAATTTTTAGTAAGATAGGGTTTCATCATGTTGGTCAGACTGGTCTCAAACTCCTTACCTCAGGTGATCCACCCACCTCGACCTCCCAAAGTGCTGGGATTACAGTCATAAGCCACAGTGCCCGGCCTCGGTTTTTAAACTCAGCCTGAGTGGGCTTCTCTTGCTAGCAGCTAAGAGCTCTGACCCCTACGGCCTCTTCCCACCCAGCAGCAAGTGTTTGGATGTTTCTGGATCTAAAATCCAAGTGCCTAAGCCTACCAGTAGTTGCAAGTGCAGATGGTCACA